TTTCCCTGCTATAAATGTTAGGCAGAAGGTCTTGAGCTAGAAAGGTTGCCAGTACTTCTATTTATGAAGAATCTGATCTTATAACTTTGAAGCACAGTTACTGATTTTTATTTCTTTTTAATAAAACATAATTATGGAATAGATGAAAAGGAGATGGAGCAAGATTTTTCAGCCATGGAGAGATTAGCTCTTGACTGACACAAATACTGATCCTGAGATGCATCCACATAGCAAAATATGCTCTGTGTCTTATACTCAGGTACATCTGAAGTAGGAATTGCAAAGTAATCCAACATTTCATAAAATTCTCAATAGAAATGTGACAGTAAGTAATACAGAGGTAAATGAATGTCTTCATAACCCTTTCTTTTATTTAATCTTGAATATTTGTGATATTATGAATGTGTCTTATGCTTTGCTTCTCCTAATGCTCCTGTATTATGGATCAGAGCTCTGTCAGTCCATCTACCAGCAGTTCTGTGGGTCTTCATGTTCTGCTGATGACAGAAAATATCCCATGACTTCTCTGGTTTTAATTAGTGCCCCTTTCTGAAAGCCTTGATGATACTATTCTTCTCCAGGAAGATACAGGAGATGACAAGACTGTGTTTTTCACAGATCTATAAATATTACAGCCAGGAAGGGCCATTTTAATAACCTGCTCTGACGTCTTATGTATCACAGGGCACAGATTTCATCTGACTACTCCTTCATTTTGGACCAATAATTTCTGACTGAACTAGAACATAGTTTTCTCTTTTCTTGAAATGCATGTCTTGATTTAAAATTTCCGCAGTGGTAAATATAAAGGCTACCACTGTGCATTGTAACTCAATTATATTTGCCATTATTTTATAGCAGTGGTAATATTCCGGGGGGATATAGATATCCCTTAGTTGCATGTTTTGGTTGCCCTATGTTGACTTCAGCCTCTAGCCCTTGCATTTCTGGTCTATCTGTGCTACATGAAACACCCTGTGGCGCCAGGTATCTTTGACATAAGCTATTACTGACTGATTAGCCTGGTGAGTGACTGATCTGTCACTGCTGCTTCTTATTGCCTTTTACTCTGCTGTGCAGCATCCTGATTTCTTGCTATTATTTGGTGGATCTGTTTTACAGTATACAGAGATGGAAAATGTTTTCTTGGCACGCACCCTGTAATTCTTTATAGGTTTTGATTATAACCCTGCCAGATAAAAAAAAATATTGTTGTGCTTATGAAAGCTGGTGTGCAATTTAAAATGTCGATATACAACATCAGCTGCTCCCTTGGGCATTCTGCTTGGAAAACTGGAGTCTAGGTGTGATAAGCAGGCCACACAAATTGTTCTGGCCTTCCTCTCATCACTGAGGCTTTCTCAGCAGTGAGCAAGGAGTGGGGTGCAGCATGCAGGCATTGTTCTGCCTGTTCCACTGCTGTGACTAAGAGGTGATAGTCATGTTGACTCATCTGGATTTTGGTTATTTGACAGAATCACTCTTAGTCACAGAGGAAAACTATGCCCACATGTACCTGGCTTGATATGAAAGAAAATATTGGCCTTGATTTGGTAAGAGGCTACATGAAAGTAGTTATGTTATTTATGGGATTTGGTATTTGATAACATTTGGAAAGAAAAATAATACAGAAAAGTTCTTGGTATGACTCAAGAAACTTAAAGTAATTCCCATCTGTCCTGCTATGTATTTGTTTAAAATAGAACAGCCCCTTATCTTGCCATTTCCACAACCATTATTGCAAAGCAATGTCATGCTCTTATTTATTTACTTTTTTCAGCAGAGTGCAATAGCTGCTTCAAAGGCTATCTGCTCTTCCAAAAGAAACTATTTATCAAAAAATTATCAGCATAGGAGACAAGGGAAATTGTTTGTACTTTACTAGTGCCAAAGGGCTGATCTAATAAAAACAACTCTTGTAAGTCACCTCCATTGCATTATACAGCTACTAAGTAGGCAATGGTCATGACTGCAAATGAATACTTGTGATATTTCACATTTCTTCCAGGAAAATAAATGTTCCATGGCTTGCTAAATAAGACTTTAATTCTGTATATAAATCATATGACAACACCAAAATTATTTTGATTGGAATCGTATGTATTACTGCCTTTTATTAAAAAAGAAAAGGCTTCAATCTAGCACACACTGCAACATAGGATCTGCCTCTATGTAATCAGCTCCTAAGTAATCAGCTTTACTAAGGTTCTGCTAGAGGCCAAGTGTCAATATAAGCTTGATTTCAAAGTCAGTGATGCATGGCTTAGACTTCTGAGTTAGAGGTTGCTGTTATGTTCATTGTTGTCCTAACAATGTAATTGATATGTAAAGAAGACAGAAGTAACTCTGAAAGAGCCTATTTCTCTTGTAACATGAAAGTATTTAGGGTTATTTCTCGACAAAAAATAATATTATAAACTTTAACTGCGTGTGTCTTTTGCTTTCTGCAAGCAAAAGTGTTATATGGCCACTGATTTACACAGAGCACCTGGCAGGAGTGTGGTTAGCCTTTCCCCAGGACCATCTCTCAATGTATTGGGGTTTATTAGAGAAATTTTCTGTCAGCAGAGTGAAATATTATGATGTGTTGTTTTTATTTCCCCCCTCCCTCAGTGTTGCTCATGTTACCAACTGTTTATTTGCTTTTCTTCTTTTTATTCAGGAGCATAAAATATGTTACTTATGCTGCTATTATCCTTGAAAATGTTTGAAGTACAGTTATTTGGACAGTTCCTGTATTAGAGAGCTTTGTCTCAAATGGGAAGTGTGGGTAAAGGTCTTCATTCCAATCACCAGTGGTTGGAAGAGAAAAACTTGCAATGTGCCTAACAAACTGATGCTGGTTCTTAAAGGAAAGATGAAGGAACTTGTTTAAAAACATGAGTTTGCACGGACCTTGTCTCATAAATTATTCTTTCTTGCTCCCTTGTTTTCCTTTCCTTTCCATGTGTCTATAATTCTATGTTTGGAGTTACAGACCTCTGTTAATAAGTATGCAATTAGTGTTTGATAGGAGTTCAACTGTAAATAATTTGCAGTAGATGTGTAATGAATATTATTAAAATTGATGTATATAGATAGTAAGATAGCAGATACTGAACTCCTGTTCAGCTAAACTTCAAATGAGAAAACTGAGCTATGACTTGGTCAGTTTGTTCAGTATTGCCTCTGGACTTAGATCTAGTCTATTGATTTTTTTTTTTATTTTTTTTTTTTAAAAAAAAGGGGAAACAAACCAGAAAAAAACCCCTGCTTTTTACTTATTCAGTCATGCTTGGTCTTAATGATTGTCTTTCAACAATCTAGCAAAAGAAATGAGGGTTTCTGAGTATGCCTTTATATTTGCTGTGATTCTAACATTTTAAAGAGTAGGATGGTCAGTTTTCCCAGTAGAGTAAGGCCACCAGAAATGTCTTAAGGCCTGAGCCATAAAGGATGCAAAGAATGGGGTCAATTAGTGAAGTTAGTGTGCTCAAGATATTAAGCCCTTTCAGAAAGCTTTTATGTTAATAGATTATTGAATTTCATCTGCTGTTTTATCACAGCAGAGATTAATGTGAAGCAATGTATATGAACAGAGGCAAAAGGTTCTCTTTCTACATTAAATGAATTTCTATATGATGAATATTGAGCTGTCTATTATCACTCAAGTTATAGCAGCTATTTCTGTTTAAAATGTCTGAATAGTAGTTGTTGAAATAGCAAATAAAATATTAAATGGGGATAGAGAATAAAATGGGAAGAATATTGCTACTATACAGATTCATGGTTCACTTGCATCTTGTCTACAATATGCTGTTCTGTGTTGCATCTCAGAAGGCTCTAGGAGAATAGAAAAGATATATTAAAGGCAGTGAGCAAGGATTTCTCTGGCTGGAATGGGTGCAGTGGAGGGAAACAGCACAGATCATTACATTTTGAGTGGGATAAGACATGTGAATAGGGTACAGTTGTTCATCCTCTCATCCAATACCAGACCTAAGCATGTCAGATGAAACCCAAGAGGTAGGCTCTGACAGAAACAGTTGAGATGTCTGATACATGTGTGGAAATCATTCCTTCAGGAGGTTCTGGATGCTGCAATTTTATGTGAGTTTACATGCTGTAACTCCTAGGACAAACATGAACCCAAAGGCACAACCTCTGACTGAGAGTGTCCCTGAGCTGCAGGTCATTGTAGGTGATTTAATGCTGTGTAGAGCATCTGTAGGGATTTAAATTCTTTCCTGGGTATCCACTGGAGGCCACTGTGAACAGACAGGGAATAAGAGAGGAGCAGGCTGACTGATATGCTCATTTAAATTTGTGCCTTGATTTTTCGTGATCTGGGACAGTTTTCCCACAGCTGCTGTTGTCAGGAATAAGTTGTAAGGCAGTGGCAAAGTAAACAAGCAAACCAAACCAAACTACTCTTAAAACCCTTTACTGGGGCTTGGATCTATTTTACATGAAGGATAATTTAAATTATTTGCTACTGAACTAGAAAAAATAGAAGTCTTGTGATTGCTTAGGGGGAGAAAGCAAATCAATGATACAGAATAATCAGAATTCATGTGTTTTATGAGCACAAGCAGTGTGACAAGAAATATGAAGTGAAACTCGACTCTTTACCCCCAATGTTCTTTTCATCCAGAAAAGGTGGCATGTTGATGATGTGTGTTCTGTTGTGTTGTCTCTGGTTTATTACAGCACTGTTTTTCCTCTTGTAGGTTAACAGAACCTTCTGGATATTTAACAGATGGACCAATAAATTATAAATACAAAACTAAATGTACATGGTTAATTGAAGGATAGTAAGTATTTATTTTCCTCTCTTAAATTTTCTGGCAGTTCAATACTGTGTGTGCTAGAGACTGAAAGGACTCTGCAAGTAGAAACTGCATCTGGATACAATAAACAGTTTTGGTCATTTGTTAGTTTGTTTTGTTTTTGTTAAATGTTAAAAAGAATTAAAAAAAAAAAACCAAACCAGGATTTTCAGGATTGCTTAGTGTTGGCCAAATTCCATTCCCATTCAAATTGCTGGCAAAAGTTAGGCTGATGTTGGAATTTGGCCAGTGCTGCAAGCTCTCAAAACCCAGTGATAAATTCGTTGCATGTTTGAGTACCTTTACATAAGTTCTAAATGTAGTTGGAGTCCCATTATTTAATTCTGTATCTTACTTATTAAAGTCATATCAGTGATAAATCAGGAATGGCTTCAGGTATGGAATGCTGATTTGGTTTCATGTAGCTCAAAAGTTAGTGCTACTGTAAAGTATATTTTTTGCATTCTACTGTACCTCATGTACTTAATTTGATGCTAATTTTGTGCCCACAGTTTAGATGTCTCATGTCTGTTGCTGGGTTTTCAGTTCATGCAGCACAAACACACAGACATGCCCAAAGAAATAATGAGGCACATGCATTAGTATGGACAACTGGTAAAGGCACGAATTGGTTACATTTCAGTGGGACTTTTTTGCCCCCCAGGATATGGATCAGGATTTTGCTGACTCTAGTTCTGAGTTCTACTAACATTCTAGAAGAAAAGGAAACCCTTCTGTATTTCCATATAGTCATGATCTCAATTACCTTAGATATCTGCTCTGTGGCTGCAGTTCAGTAATGATGTATCTGATCTAATTTTATTCTGCTTCTATGCAGATTGTAATTTAAGCACAACAGCAATGAAATTATGGGTAGTTTGCAAAATCCTCTAAATAGAAGCCTCAATATCTAGGTGACTAGGCTGTAGCTGAATACTTTTCTGACATAGCTAGACTTCTTTTTTACTCAAGCTTGCTCAGGAATATTTGTACTTCACTACAGTAAGCTGAAGTGGAAACATGCCTCAGGACCGTAGGCAAACTCAGCTTTGAAGTGTTCTTCTCTCCACTCCTCCTCTTCACCAGAGACTGTAGAGTGGGTAGCTGGAGGAAACAATATGCTGTACAGTATGTGGAAGAGTGAAAAAAACCCCAGTAACATAGTGCAAAATGTCAACACACAAGGAAGTCACATATGTGTCAAATACTCTTAAAAAATGAACAAATTGCTCTCTCCAAAGGATCTCTCACAAAAACCCACATAGGTTTCCCAAACTGACAAATTGCACTCGAGCCTGTCAGTAGAGGGGTGAAATAAAAGAAAATAACCATGATGTTTCATGGAATGTATATAGAAGTCTGATAAGTTTGTGATAAATAAAAATTCCCCTTTCAGAAATTTTATGGATCCATTTGGATCTCAGCCAAAAACTGATGGCATTTGTTCCCAGGTGTTGGGAGTGGGGAGGGGACAGGCTCTTGCACTAGCATTGCTTGCAATTTTAGATTTATGTTGTAAGATTTTTGTTTTGAATAACCAGAATTATACTGGAATGAAGATGTGCAGGTGACCTTTTTTTTTTTTTATCTTGAAAGATTCTCTAAACTTCGTAGTTCTGACATTGTAATGTAAAGCTAGTATATTAAAATGGGATGTTTAATTGCTCTGAATTTATGGTTCTGAATATTGACAAAACCTGGTGAACTTAGTAACTTTTGGGATTATTAGACTTGGACTGAATATGTTATTTTTAAATTTCCTAAGATAAAGTGAAATATTTGCTTGCCCTGACATTTGCTATTCAACATTTTGAAATGTTTAGTTATTACTCAACATGTTTTAATAGATTTATACTGGCACGATCAGTTTTAGTGAAAGTTCTTTATGTTATGAGCTTAATAATTTCAAAAACAATGATTTGCATAAATGTTATTTTATTGTTTTTTTTCAGCCCAAATGCAATATTAAGATTAAGATTTAATCACTTTGCCACAGAATGTAGTTGGGACCATATGTATGTATATGATGGAGATTCAATATATGCACCTTTAATAGCTGTATTTAGGTGAGTGTATTTATAAATCTTTTGGTCCAAGTAGTCATGTATGGACATGTTTAGTTTGTGGGAGGGAAAAAATAACATTAGTGGCTTTAATATATTAACTATCTTAATTTCTTTTGTTAATATTGTGGGAATATGTTTGTAAAGTTGTTTTAGAATGAATTCCAAAACATGACATTTTTGGTTAGGTGATGATGGTACAAATTCATTATGTGGCTTGTACTTACTGCTGATATTGCATGGAGTGTTAATGCTTATATACAGACATTTTTTCCTGGAAACCCTTACCTTACCTTGCAGAGGGTATGGACAAGTTTTATCCATATTTTATGATGTGTTTTTTGAACAGAAGTTTCTATATGAGTTATTCTGTTTACGTAGTTAACCACCAGAATAGCCAACTCCCTGTTCCCCCTTTTCTGCCCTCCTCTCCCAAAGATTTCTTAAAAGCATTTTTCTCATTTTCTTTTCCAGTGGTCTAATAGTCCCTGAAGTACGTGGAAATGAAACTGTTCCTGAAGTAGTTACTACATCTGGCTATGCATTGCTACACTTTTTTAGTGATGCTGCTTATAACCTAACAGGATTTAACATTTTCTATTCGTAAGTATTTTTTTAATAAGTAATCACTTTTTTTTTCAGTAGCAGAAGTGTTATACTTTGTGGTATGTTTCTCAAACTAGGGAGCCTGGGTTGTAATGAATTGTTCCTAAGGTATGAGTTAGGGGAAGAAAACCCCAGAGCTAGAGTATATTGTTTTGAGCGAAGCCACATGGCCATTCCAAGAGTATGTTTCTCCTATGCCATATGGAACTAGAATGTATCCCTTCCAGTGTTTATCCAACACATGTAGTTGTCATATGGAATAGAAGGGAGATTATATTTGCTGTCATGTCAGTTCCCTTCTCTTGAACTAGGCTCATCTGTTGCTTGATTTTTCTTGCTGAATATACTTTGATAGCTTTTGAAATTCAGCTTCACTGAAATTCTACTTTGATTTTTGCACCAGGCACAAAAATGTTATTCCATTTCTTAACTTCTTGGGTACTTTCCCATCTTACTTTCCATCTCAGTCTACATTCTGCCTTCATAGCTCTGGTCTGCACTGTCTGTCTTTGAGTTTGTCTGATGGCAAAGTCTACTCTGATATAACTGTGTTTATTTTCATCCAGTCTCCTTTTCCATGTCAGCAGCTCTAAAGATGCTTCCAATGGACCTGAGCCTTTTTCTTGCATGCACCAGCTGTTGATCACAACTTCTGTCTCATTTGGGACATCCTTATGACACAATGCAATGTCTCTTCATACTGGATGCTTTAGTTCAAGAGGGGATTGCTTGGACCTGTTGGATCTGTTTCATTATGTGATTGTTTTCCCATGATTGACGATATATCTCTTCCTTTCTCTCAAGCCCCTCAGATTCTGAAGTAGCTGTTATTGGGATGTGGTGGCCAGCACTGTATTTCTTATGTGGAAGTACATGTAATATTTTTGTCATATTCTTGCTTAACTTAAAATTTGTGTTTGTGCTTCTGACCATACCTTTGCTCTTGGCAGAGGTGCCTTTTAAATTGTCTATGGAAAGATTGTTTCTGTAATTGGCAGTGTCTTGCCTACCTTTGACCAGATAATAAACAGCTATTCAGAGTTTGGGAAACCTCACTAGATATATTGCGTTGGAAATGGCAGTCTAGAAGATTGGGCATTTTTAATTTTTGTCAGTTGACATCAGTAAAATGCAATCACCTGGCAGACTACTGTAATTAGATACATTTTTCAGTTATCCCTGAAGCTTTTAGTGCACTTTTTTTTTATTTGTCTTGGGAGCAAATGGCAGTATGACATGACATTCTTGAGAAATTAGTGTATGTGCTCTGCATTCTTTCATTACTTGGTAATGTGGTGCATGCTGCATATCATTACCTTATTTTTTGGAAGGTTTAAAATAAAAGAAAAAACTGCCAGTTTTTAATTCCTTTACGTATATAACTCATATTTTATGTACTCTGTTCTTGTGTTTCTTCTATTACAGTGGATAATTGTAAATTAATTTTTGTTATGAGCCAACAGTAGCACTTTTTTATGATAAAGAAGTACCTATAATCACTTTTTATGGCTGCAGTAACTGTCACTGATCTATTGCACTCTGCTTCTGTTACTGTCTTCCTTCCTTGGTTTTTGACTTGCTCTTGATGGAGTGCTTGTATTCCTTAATTCTGGGGAGGACAGAAGCACAAAATCTGTGACTAAAGTGCCATGCCAGTTGCAAACAATAGTGGTTACTCCACAACAGTCTGAGTAAATTTTGTGTTCCTTGGAGTCAGGCAACTTGCTTCCAACTCTGCTGATCCAGTTTTTCTCATTCCATTAAGGAACCTGTTGGATTGAGAATTTGTCTACTTTCAAACTGGTATGTCTATTGCTGGTAGAAGCACAAAATCTGTGACTAAAGTGCCATGCCAGTTGCAAACAATAGTGGTTACTCCACAACAGTCTGAGTAAATTTTGTGTTCCTTGGAGTCAGGCAACTTGCTTCCAACTCTGCTGATCCAGTTTTTCTCATTCCATTAAGGAACCTGTTGGATTGAGAATTTGTCTACTTTCAAACTGGTATGTCTATTGCTGGTATAACTGTTCAGTTGAACACACTCCCTGTGAAGTCAGGGAAGAGGTTCCTCACAGCTGTAATATACAGCAGCTAATGTCATCCATGGTTTTAATGCCATGTCTGTTACCAGGGGAAACCCTGAGGACGTTTGCAGTTCAGATGTGGAATTTTCTGCTTTGATGTAAGTGTAGCAGGATCAGTCCTTTGAGAAATGTGTCTTTATGAAACAAAAACACATCTCCTGACTGTCCTACCACAACTATATTTTTCCAAGGTCAGCCTCGAGCAATTCTTTGCTAACTTTTAACAGTTCATTCTTCATTGGGTAAGAGCAAGGAAAGCTATAACAGTATCCATCTCTCACATCTACAGGGAGTGGTCTGTGTTGTCATCAGGGGATTGTAGTAACAGTTTATTCTGAGTTTCAACCCAACCCTTTGCTTTGAGTAATCAAAAAAAGGCTTTCATATCCCTTTTGGACTTCATCCGGCTCATACTGCCTGGGACTCTGTTCATGGAAACTCTTGGACCCACATACTTCAATGTCCTCCATCTCTCCTCATCTCCAAGGAGTTGTCTGCATTTCTGGAATCACTTTGCTTAATTTTGCTGTGCAGTTGCCTGTGATCTCAGTGTTTGGCAGGGCGTAACACAGAAATGCGAACTCCCATAACAGTCACAGACTTCTTTCAAACTAATCTTTCCTGTTTTTGCATCTCTGACTGTGGAGTTAAGGAGGCAAGGTTAAGGCAGCTCTGTTATTAAGGGTTCAAAGCATCAAGTGCCACCTGTAAGTAGTTTCAGACTATTAGCCGTCTTGTATTTTTCCTACTCGTTTTTTTCCTGTTTTATTCCTCTCGGATGTTAGGTATACCGTTTAACAGTATGGACCAAAGCCACTCAGGAAAACTCTTTAACTGTATGTCTGTATTGATGAGTTTCAGCTCAGTCACTTCCAGTGCGGTTGTTCTAGAGAAAATAAGAATTTGAAGGGACTGATTACAGTGCTGATACTGGAACATAGTCAAAAATAGGTGTTGATCTGCCCAGGCAGGGCTTGTTCTGCTGAATGTCAATACTTATTATTGTGCATAGTATTTGTGATCCTGACTGTATCACAGACTTTTTATGTAAACTTTTGAGCTCATTTGCCTATAAAATCATCGTTAAATCTGTGTATTATCAGTACATAGAAATTTTTCATGGTAAAAAATACTTTATCTAACAAGTATTCTTGGAGTACTGTCAGATAAAACAAGTCATCAGGTCTTGGTTTGTCATTTCCCTTATTTTCCGTATTTTTTCTCAGAATTAATTCTTGTCCTAATAACTGCTCAGAACATGGAAAGTGTACAACCAGTGTGTCAGTACCAAGCCGGGTATACTGTGAGTGTGACAAGTATTGGAAAGGAGAAGCCTGTGATATTCCATATTGTAAGGCCAACTGTGGCAGTCCAGATCACGGGTACTGTGACTTGACAGGCGAGAAGCTCTGTGTCTGCAACGACAGCTGGCAAGGTAAGGTTTTGTTTTGTGGAGTCAAGTTAATCTGTAAAATAGAACTGCTTTCAGTGCATCCTTTGCAGCATGCATGTTAGCACCTTTACAGAATATACACAGATGAAATAATTTTGGGAATCAATTTTCATGTGGATCTACGTGTGTGTACTTTCATGCCATAAGTGGTTCACGGCTTTGATATGTTTTTGTCTGAAGATACTGCAGAAATGTGACCTGAACTTTCTTGTGATGGGCATTCTTCTTTTTGAATCATTAATTTGAAAAAAATAATGGTAGTAATCATTGGAGAGTTGTGAGCACTTCTGAAGACTAAATTCCTCCATAGTCTAATTTTCTATTCTGTTTTTAAAGTTGAAGTAGATTTGATTATCTTCCCTCCTCTTTTGGTGTCACATCATTACATCATATTTTTAGTGCTTCCTGAAGTAAGTATGCACTGTCTGATCTTTGGTTGGGTATTATTTGTATTGGCCTCTCAGTGGAAAAGGAAGGGAAGCTGCTTTGTTCTAACAGTACAAGAATGTCTGTGTGGATATGTACTATGGACTAATGGATGTACTGCAAGCATGCACTGAAATTTTACTTCCAGTCCCATACATATTTGTTTCTCATTACAGATAAATTATTGAAGATCCTGGATGTTTAAGTCACTTACTTTAATTATGCTAGATGTTTGGTTGCTATGCATTGAAATTGCCATTCTTCTTTTAACAGAAATATTAATGTATCTCCATATTACTTAGCTAATATGCTCTTTTCCCATGACTTCCTGCCTTTACTTCTGTTTTATTGCTGTTTCTTTTTGCATGTCAAAGGAAATTACTTTTTTATTCCTAATAGTTGTCACACTATTACTCCCGAGACATGATGAGATGTAATATATTTCCCTTAATAATTAATGAGTTGTTCATTAAAAGGCAGTCAGTGCACCCATAGTAAGGAAGTGGTTTAGCAATATGGTCATTGAATGGAAACAGTGTAGACTTGTTATTGAGTTCTTTAGAACCTTCCAGGTTTCTAGTGTACAGAAAGATTCTGAAAGCTTAATCTCTGTAAGGAACTTGTCAATACAATTTGCACCAAGAATATCACCCTTTTATTTATCCTGCAGTGACAGGACGGGGCAATGGGTTCAAATTGAAGGAGGGGAAATGTAAGCCAGATATTAGGAAAAAGTTTTTTCCTGTGAGTGTAGTGAGACACTGGCACAGGTTGCCCAGGGAGGCTGTGGCTGCCCCAACCCTGGCAGTGTTCAAAGACAGGTTGGATGAGCCTTGAGCAACCTGCTCTGGTGGGAGGTGTCCCTGCCCGGGGCAGGGGGTTGGGACTAGGTGATCTCTAAGATCCATTCCAGCCCCTAAAATTCTATGATTTGTGCATGGGTTCCTTGCAATTTCAGACTGCTAGGTACAAAATGGGGAAATTCCACTAATCTTTGGTATTAAGTTTTAAAATGGCTATACTTTCAGTTACAGTGCTATAAAGTTCATTAGAAGTTTAGAGCAGGAAATAAAATGACAAGGCTAATTTCTATGTTACTATCTTCGATCACCTGGTGTTTCTGTATATAATAGCTTCCCATTTTTTCCTACAGTGCATAGGGTTATATAAAGATAATTTGCTTGACTGTTCCTTGGATTTTCACTGAACCTACATAGATTTCAATTAATTTTTGTCTGCATTCTGTCACAGGTGAGCTTGGGTACATAATTCTTTTTCCTTACAGAATGCAAAACAATACCAAACTTCTCTTAAGTTCTCTGGAAGACGACTTGCTCCTCTGTTTTATTTATTTCCACCTTTTTTCTCTATAGTTTCTAAAGTGATAGTGTCTTCTGTGTAGGTTCTTTGCAATGCTGAAACCATAATATTTTTCTACCTATCTTACTGTTCTTGCTGTAAGTTTTTCTTGTGTTTGGTGATTTAAATCAACTGACTGAAGGGTCTTGATCTCTGTTTTTGAAGAGAATTTTATGTTTCTTTTATAATTCCGGTTTTAACTTTTTAAAAATATTTTTAAAGCATCTTTACTGCCTATGTTAAAACAAACAAAAAAAAGAATAATCATTGACCTACACTGATTGGGATGTACAATAATTGAAATTCATGATTCAGAACATAAACTCTGGATTTCCTATTTTACGGCACAGAGTTTCTTTCTTTTTACAATGGTGACATCTTGTGGATACTGTGGAAGGAGCAGCTCTGAAGAACATTGCAAGTTTAAAATAAGTGTTTTGAGAGAACACTGTATTCTTTGAGATAGAATAATTGAGTAAAAAGTAGGATCCTCTTGTTATTAGATACAGTTCTGTGTACACTTCTGTGTGCAGTTCTGGGCCCCTCAGTTCAGGAAGGATATTGAGGTGCTGGAGCAGGTCCAGAGAAGAGCAACGAGGCTGGTGAAGGGACTCGAGCACAAGTGCCATGAGGAGAGGCTGAGGGAGCTGGGGGTGTTCAGCCTGGAGAAGAGGAGGCTCAGGGGAGACCTTACCACCCTCTGCAACTCCCTGACAGGAGGTTGGAGTCAGGTGGGGGTTGGTCGCTTCTGCCAGGCAACCAGCAGCAGGACAAGAGGGCACAGACTCAAGCTCTGCCAGGGAAGGGTTAGGTTGGATATTAGGAAGAGATTTTTTTACAGAGAGAGTGCTCAGGCATTGGAATGTGCTGCCCAGGGAGGTGGTGGATTCCCCATCCCTGGAGGTTTTCAAGCTGAGACTGGATGTGGCACTTAGTGCCATGGTCTAGTAGCCATGGTAGGGTTGGACTTGATGATCTTTGAGGTCTTTTCCAACCAGGTTGATTCTATGATTCTATGATTTTGTGTACTATAATACAATCTTGTATCTTGTAGATACTTGCAGCTAGCTGCTAGTTGTACTAATACAGCATAAAACCATGAAAATAAAAACTTTTAGACTTAGAAAGCAAAGAATGTAATAAAATATAAAAAAATAATAATTTTTATTTTTAACAGACACTGCATTTAGCCAAGAATGTACTTGGTAAATGTAGTGGATTTTTAAAATGCAAGTATTTGTTTTAAATAATGTTTAGTAATGTTAAATGTTTCTGAGATGGTTGATCTCATGTAGGAAGAAAATTTAGTAATTACATGAAATCTGGTTATGTTCAGGCAACATAAGGGAGGCTGAAATTTTTTCTAAAGAATGAATCCTTTATAAGTATTACATTATATTCTGCTGTTTCATTACTGGCTAATCTGTCTTGCTGTTATGTAGCAGAATGTGTCTATGCCTGCTGATACAGGCTGTGGATATAATTCAGGGAAGAAAAAACCCTCCTTAAAACTACTGACTTGCTCTATTTTTCTTTGCTAGGCACAGGTAAAAGAGAAATGGGGACTTGGCTGAGACAACAGTGGTGGCTCTTGAAGAAGTTTGTAGAAATATGCTTGTGCTGAATATGTGATCACAGTCAGCAGCTTCACTTTGATACCAGGAACACTGTCTTGGATTGTCTCAGGCTCTATAGGAGTAGAGAGATTTCCAAATAGTTAAAATTTATGTAATATGTGTAAAAATTCAGGATTACTAGAAGGATTATTAAGTAGTTCCACATTTTTAAGAGAGTTAAGTGGAGCATCTTTGAACATGCTGAAAACATTACTACCTACTGGGTGTAGACAGGAAAAAAAGAGTTGAAGGCTCTCTTGAATTTAAGAGAAACTTTATTGTTACTTTGATCATTGAACATCAGTGCTGCAAGCAAAAGGGGAATCTACTAGAGAGGAAATACAGGGTGTGTTTACATGAGTTTTTATGAGGATCAGTAAGGTACCTTCAAAGCAAATCTGGTCTTTCACATGTATTGTGTTTTGGATTGCTTCATGAGACAACTTGAAAATAGAGGCACTGCATTCCTTTTAGAAGAAACTACCCCAGAAGATGAGCTCTAGGGTTGCACATAATGCACACCAGCCTTTGGCCCTAGTCCAAAGTTAAAACACCAATAAAAATACTGGAATGTATATAGCCAGTTGGTTCTCCCTACAGGTCTGCTCCTAGCAGATAGAGATGTAGCAGAAGACCAGATTCTGAAATTAAACTAATTAACTTAGAAATAAGTCCATTAGCAATTCAGGCAGCTTGAATTTTATAACATCTCTCTAGGGAAAAATGAGCCTTTATGTAAGGAAAAGAGTAAACAATGAAAGTATAGAAGAAGCTGTGACTACTGCAGTGTAAGATTAGTATTTTTCCTTGCTTTTTACTATGATTTTTATTCTTACAGGATTTTGAGTATGGACAGAACTACTATGTCAATGTGTGTCTATACTCAACTTAGTTTATTTTGAAAGGACTGACTGTCCTGAGTAGAGGTTGTTCCCACTGCTTCAGTGGAGGGCTCTGAGGTCATACTCTCTTGTTTTGCCTGCCTTATTCCTCAATGCTGAGATTTAACAAAGCTGTGCCCCTGTGGTGCTGGTTTATTGAAACCCCTGGAGAAGGTTTGAGATGGGAGCTCAGGCAGCAGGAGCTGAAATACAGCGCTGGAAAGAGTTTATGCCAAGTGCTTAGAGGTCTGAAATCTGAGATTTCAGCCTGTTGTGCCTGGATGTTCTTGAACAGAAAGCATACATGTGTGCACTTTCAGAGTAGAGGACCTGTGAGGTAACATTTGCTTCAGACAGATCTGGTTTTGGAACAAAAAAAAAGTAGAAGCAGTAGAAAGTAGAAGTAAATGTTTTGCTCTGTGATAATGCCTTCTTTGTCTCGGTTTTACTTTTCAGGTTGTCTCCTGGCCAAAATTGTTTGACAGTCTGGGAGATGTTCTCTTAAATACATGTACATTTATATTATATATACACATAAACCCACAAATCCTTTCCTTCCCCAATTTTAAGTTAAAATCCAATTTCTGCACTCATATGTTTGTAATTCTTTAATGTTTATCATAGAAATGACAGTTGTCTAAGGAAATTCTACATATATAGAATTAGAAATTGTCTTACAATTAGTGGTTGTTGATGTATA